TTGAGGGGGTAGGGGGCGGAGGGGCAGGTCTTGCCTCCCCGTGAACTCCAGGCAGAGGTGGGGCTCCAGTAAAAGGCACTGGTGTGGAGGGTCGCATAGCCAGTGTCCCTTGCCAGTGCCTGCTAGCCTCCCCCATATGGGACCCGAGTTGGGGGCTGGGGAAGGATCTCTCTTGGGGAAACCTCAGTACCAAACTCTCTCTGGCCATCAGAGAGCTGGCCGTCACCATGGCAATGCGGGAGTTGGTGGAGGCAGAATGTGGGGGTGCCAACCCCCTCATGAAGCTGGCTGGACACTTCACCCAGGACAAGGCCCTGCGGCAGGAGGGCTTGAGGCCTGGCCCCTGGCCCCCAGGAGCGCCCACCCCAGAAGCGGTGAGTGGAAGGCCCAGATGTACACCTTGGGCTAACTGCTTTCGGGCTAACTGCTTTCTTTATTGTGTTGAAAATGGTAGTTACTACTTAATGAGTGTTTACTAAGCACTGTGCATCTTCATATAGACGAAGGTTGCAATTTCATAGATAAACTGAGACGCAGGGACAGACTTGACTTGTCCAAGGTTGTCTACCTAGTCCACGGAAGAGCCGGAATCCTAACTCACATGAACTGACCTGAGGAATTTCACCATGGTACCATGTTGCCCTTCTTAGGACAATTATTTTCTTTTTTAGGTCTCTAAGCCTTTGGGAGTAGCCTCTGAAGATGAGGTAAATATATCAGTCTCTTTTCTGTCATAAATGATGAAGAACTTGGCTACTAGCCAGTAAGTAGGTGTTGTGAATCCACCCAAAGGTGCTTTGGGAGAGAGGTCTGGCAATCTGCTTGTGAAAGGTGACAGCCTCGGAAACTGTGGAGCCGGTTCTGGGGCACCCCTGGATGGTGCACACCTGGAGCTGCCATGGATTGGCATTGACTCAATGAAAACAGCCTTGTGTTTTTACCTGTAAACTTGGCTCACCCTTGTTTCACGTGGAGACCTTTCCTGACCACATGAGATGTGCTTTTGCTTTCTGTTTCCAAGTCTTTGGAAAGAAAGTTTCTCTTTTTTAAAAACAAAACAGTTTATGTGCTATCCTTTCAGTAGTGTCCCTCCCCCGAAGGGCCCGGTCTCCTGTGGAGATCTCATTTCATCATCTTTCTGTGGCAGCTGGTGGCAGAATTCCTGCAGGATCAAAATGCACCACTTGTATCCCGGGCCCCTCAGACCTTCAAGATGGACGACCTCCTGGCGGAAATGCAGGAGATCGAACAGTCCAGCTTCCTCCAGGCTCCCCAGAGAGGTGGGTGCTGTGTGTGGTGGGAGCGGGACCCACCGTTTTCGGTGTAGGCAGGGCCACAGGGGTTCCAAATTTGAAGGCCAATGGCATTGGGAACTACATTGCAGACTGAAACATGATGGAATGTAAGGATTTCTTCTTTCTCATTGAAGCCCCTGGTGTGGCAGACTTGGCCTTGTCTGAGAACTGGGCCCAGGAGTTTCTTGCAGCTGGAGATGCTGTGGACGTCACTCAGGATTATAATGAGACGGACTGGTCCCAAGAGTTTATCTCTGAAGTTACAGGTGAGGCTCTTCATGGGGAAGTCTGGAATGGTTCCTATGGGGCAATCAGATGTATACTGTTCCCCTACTTCGTTTGAGGATGCAGTGTAATTTCAGCTGCTTATGACTTCCCTGGCCTCTTGATTTCTTTTTTGCAGGGCATTGCTTTTGTTGCTAATAGGGACTTGAATTTCATGTTAAGCAGAGGACAGAGTTTCAACTAGATAAAAGATTTTTCAAAATCTATCATTTAAAGCCAGTTCAAACCCAAATATGTGTATATGATAGAATGATACATTAGGGTAGTCTGTTTGCTATCTGAATGTTATTACTGCGGTCTGGCGGAGAGGCTTCCCAGAGAGTGGATGGATGGCCATGGTACCCAGGGAGAGCAAAATATCTGTCACAGCACCTGGGATTCTGTTGTCCTTTGGAATGCACTCGGGTCCTTGGGAAGTGGGAATGTGGAATTTTTTTTTTAATTGAGAATAATTTTATTTAGCAATTTGTGATCGCTATAGAATTATACAAGTAATACATGACTACTGTCTCATTTCAAAAGATTCAAATTATAGCAAGGTATACAAGGATCCCTCATGGCACAGCAGTTAAACAGTTAACTACTAACCCAAGTCAGCAGTTCAAACCCACCAGCTGCTCCACAGAAAGACGAAGCAGTCTGTTTCCCAAAACAGCACGAAACCCTCTGGGGCAGTTCCACTCTGTCCCGTAAGGTCGCTAGGAGTCAGACTTGATCCAGTAGCAACTGGTCTGGGTTTGATACAAGGCAAAACCTGAAGCTCCTTACCTAGCATATGGTGCCACTCCCCCCCCCCCTCCCCCCCCAATACAGTTTCCTCCCTTGAGGGAAAATCACTGACGATTACTTGTTTGGTGTCTGTCCTAGGACCCTTCTAAGTTACAGTGCAACACCCCATGACAAACAGTTGATTTACCTAATAGTGACCCTGCAGGACCAAGTCGAAGAGACTTCAAGCCAAGTCCACACACCCTGATAATAATGAAAATGAATAATAATAGTAATAGCCAGTGTTTTTTTCTCTAGACTTTGTGTTACTTGCGTTAAATGCGTTTATCTGTTTAAACCCCATGAGAATTCTTGAGGTATGCTTCTCCTGACAAACACTCAGTTTTGCATACAGACCCTCAGCTTCCGTTTTGCCGTCCCCTCTTCACCTCAGGCCTCTTGCAAGGTGGGCTTCAGCCATTCTGTAACAGCTCAGGAAATAAAGGTCGCTCTGCTGTGAGCGTTGCAATGTTACAGCGATCTGAATGGCTTGCCGTTGGCAACATTTTATTTAACCCAGAAATGCAATTTACTACTGCAACAGAAAACTTTAGAAAAACATGCTGGACCTGTCTCATGTGTTAGTCTCCTTTGAGATAGCTTGCTCTTCTATTTTTTATGTTCTGTGGATCTTTGGCTGCGTCCTAGACTCAAAGATCTACGAAAGAGGGAAAGACTGTGTGTGTTTGCAGTCTTGCTAAAACTGTCTGCAGGAGCAGTGTATTGCTTGGTATGTAGTAAGTCTTCAGGTTTGTTGTTGAGAAAGATACAAGTAGATACATACACAAAGCAATGAGCAAGGAGTCTAGGGGAGGGTTACTCATTGGACTCCCTGAATGTCTGGGTTGTTTTGCTGCTCCCGCCCCCTGCCTCATTAGGTAAATTCTAGGGGGGCCAGCCCCTAGCAAATCATCCCGGGTCTGGTAGGCGCAATTCTACAGCGACAATTTAAGTAAAGATTGTTGTAAAGCCATAGATAATAGGAAAGATAGAAGAGAGATTGAAATAAAGGCGTCAGACACATTTGATGGTAGCATGCTCACCTCAGCCCTGCTCAGTGGTCCACGTGAGGATGTGGAAGGTGGGAATTGCAGGAGCGAGGGAGAGCAGTTTCTTACTAACCAAGGCTTATATATCTTTTGGGGTTGTGCAAGCCCTCTAATTACAGGAAAGGACATTTGTCACAGGAAGGAGTTGTGCTATAGGTAATACAGTGATGAGAGAGGGATGATCTAGGGGTATGCATGTGACAATATGGCTGGATCCTAGATACAGGGAGACAGCCTAATTTTGGATGTCACTGAGCAGGTTTGACCTGCTCGCCACAGAAACCACTATCAGTAGGGTATGAACCCCACCTACAGTGGACCAGACTGATGGCTGAAAGCCTTCAGGGAAAAGTAATCTATTGTCCATAACCAGCAGGAAGTAGGCCCTACCTGTGGTGGGACCAGACAGTAGTCTGAAGGCTGAATGCACCTGACCTCCCACCACGTGCTGGCAAATAGCCTCTAATGTTTGGCCTATTTTTGTGGGGAGACAAAGCTGGGGAAAAGTCTTTTTATATCCCACAGGTAAATGTACCCCAAAGTTACACATATTCATAAGAAAGGGTAGAGTAAGCATGAGGATTGATTGAATGCATATACACTTCAATTTAAAGGGCCATGCAATTTTAAATTCACTTTGCAGGCCTACAGGAAGCGTTGGAAGTTTGCGGGAACCCCGTTTTGCTGGGGGTGGGGGTGGGGGTGGTTAAATTGGCTGAAAGGCTTTGTATGGGTGGGACCCAAACTAATGAGTGTGACTGGTTGTCTTCTGACTTCGCATGCTGCTGCTTCCTGAAAAACAGCCAAACAAAGTTAGGTTCTACAACAAACTAGCGGAAGAGTGGGATAACATTAGCCCCAGAGAGGGCCGATTTAGTTCCCTCCTGAGGCAGAATCGGCTTAATGGCAGTGAGTTTGGGTTTTTGGGTTTGAGTTGTGACAGTTCCTTAATCCTAAGGGATCAGCGGCATGGAGTTTTGTGGCTCCTTCTTGCTGCCCAAAGTTAAGGGGCCCGTGTAAGGCATTGCTTGACGGCCTTGCTGGCTCGGTACTTTTGGTCAGGAGGGTGTGCTAAAGCCAACAGGCTGGGAGCTTGCAACTGCTGAGGTATGAGCTTGGGTATGAATTTTAGGATGTAAGTTCCCAAAGGTAGGAATGGTCATAAAGGAATGGTCACTAAGGGAATTGTGGGCTGCAACCACCAGAAATGGAGGAGTGGGCACCGTGTTTACGGTCAAGTAACTGGGGAAGACTGGGCATAGCCGGACAGGCTCTCACGTTGTGAGCAATTTCCTTCTGAAACCATAGCTCGTGACTGTGGGATCAGCCTGTTGCTCTTCCACTTGGTCAGTTGTTCAACACCTTGTTGACATCACAGCTGTTAGCACTTATTCACATGGGACGTGTGGTCGGTATTGCGAGTGATTGATATTTGTAGGCAAGAACATTAGTTTACAAGACCTGGGAGCCACCCCCGGACTCTGAGGATGTAAATGACAACAGGGGGCAGACAACAATACGAGCTTGAATCAGACCTTTTTGGTGTCCTTGGCTGAGCTCCTTTTTGATGAGGAGTTTTAGTCCCTTATGGGGTTTGCGGCCCCATAATGGTTGCCACTCAGTGTGCACAGTGATTTGTCACTGGCTGGTTGGTGGGCCTCAGTGGTCAGCTTGGCAGATGGGCGGGCTGCCAAGAGTAACACTTCAGGTATCGCTGACCGCAGAGAATCTTCTAGACCCCGAGGGACTCTGGTCTTCTGGAGCGTCCGATGTAAGGCAGTTTCTAAAGGAATCCAGTCTTGAAGTGTATTGAATGACCGGAGATCCGGAAATTAAAGTAAATGGATTTTTCTTTTCTCTTATAGCATTTGTGGCTGATGATATTATAGATTAATTATTGCTTTATGAGTAGTAGATTTGAGATGAGAAATGGTTATATGAAGTCTTTATCGTTTAATCCCCATTGTTAGGTCCTAGAATCAAGTTTAGAAGGCACCTTGAATTCCTTTTTGGTTTTTTTTGGTTTTGTTTTACTTTTTTTAACAGAAAATATAGTTAAACTAGAAGTTGCTCTCTGCCCAACCCAGCTCTGTGGGGTACCAGCCCCCACAATCGAATGGGTCCAAGGGGCGATTGCGTAATTGAAGGGTAAAATTAAAGAGACATCAGACAAGATAGAGCATGCAATTGCTCACCTCTCACACAGCCGTGATCCCAGCAGCCAGGTCTGTGCAGAAAGCATGAATGTATTTCCAATTGCGGCTTATATACATCTAGGGGACGTGCACACCCCCTAATTACATTATAACAGGAAGGGATCCTACCATTGGCATTTGTGCGACAGGAAGGGGATGAGCTAGGGGTGTACATGTGACAGGATGAGTGGACTCTAACCTTGTTCCTCCACCTTATCTTTGGGGTCTCCTTCAGGGGAACAATCCACTGTCCTTATGAGAAGGGAGTGGGCCCCACCTAGGCTGGGACAGCCTATAGGATCTGATCACTCTAGATGGCTAAAACCCTCAGGGAGATCACCTCTAAGCAGTTGACCTCCACGTGTATAGTCACTAATTGACCATGGATTAGCAAGCAGCATCTTAGGTTTGGCATATAATTTTTGGGGACAACCTGGGGAATAACCTTTCTGTATCCCATACCCTCTCCCACAAAAAGGTTCAGGGAAGTTCTGTGGACCCTTTACAAATTTCTTTCAGTATAACATTTTGTATCATTATAGTACTATGTCAAAGATTGGGAAATTGCCCTTGGTCTGTGTATGTTTATACATACTGTGTGTGTGTGTTGTGTGTGTGTGTGT